ATTTATATGTAAATAATTAAACTATTATATATTTATATATAAATAGTTATACTATTATATATTTATATATAAATAATTATACTATTATATATTTATATATAAATAGTTATACTTCTTTTGGCGCGTTTGGTAAAAAATAATGAGAGTGAATTTTTACGATGCGCGCGCACAATGAAAGAAAATTAACAGAATGAAGTTTGTTGGGATTAACGATGCGCGCGCACAACGATATGAAATTAACAGCATGAAGTTAGCCGCGTTATAGCCGGCTTAGGGTATATTGTACGCCAAAGAAGTATAACTTTTTTACGTACATACATATAAATTCGTGTTATTTTTCTTTGTAAATTTCTTACCCTAACAGTTTTAACTTTTGGCGATGAACGTCTAGTCAAGGTCGCGGAGGAGGAAGAAGTATCCTTGAGATATTTTTGCGAGCCGTATTTGGTTTGGTCCTCGGTCACACTCTTTTCCTCCCCACGCGTTAAAGTCGTTGTCTTCCGAACTATTCGCGTCACGATACGTTTCGTGCCATTTTCACCGCGTCTCGAGGTCTTAGTCGATTCAATCGACGAGCCTAAGTTTCGTTCATAATAAATACAAAATATTCGATATTGTTGAAATAATATTCAATTCATCTAAACCCCCCCCCCCGCCACTACCACCATCCCTTATTCCGATTCGCTCAAATTTATAATCATTTATATTTATAATAAAATATTATATTAAAATATGTAGAGGATACACAGGTTAAAATAAATCAGTATAATTTGACTAAATAAAATGAATCATTGTTTAATAAAATATACATTATATACGTGATATATTATTCGAATTATGTAATATATTTATTAGCTGTTTAACGCGTTGTTTGTTGCTAACTAAATTTTTGTATTTAAAGGATGGATAATGATTGTACGTGTTTTATAGATTACTATATTTAGTGTGTTGATTCAAAGTGAATTATTATTGAAGAATTTATGAAGGAAGATATAAAAACGTGATATTTATTATAGATCACGATCTACATTAAAACATGGCGGATATCGTGGGCTATTAATCAAAGGATTAATTCGATTATAATCGAAGGACGTTACCATAAGATGATTACTCGTGCTACGTTATACACTTTAACTATTCAACAATTTCCGTTCGCCCACGGCACGATTTATAATAATCGATTTCCTTGAAACTGGAAATTCCTTTTTAAGATTTCTTGCATTTAATCGATTAATTCTTATTGACGACTCAAGATCAAGGATAAAATTATATTTTATCGTTATAACTTAATCTAATGTATAATTAATTATACGATCGTGATTTAAATATATTTTTTTGTGTAAATTATTGAACGAATTATTGAAAGATTTTAATCGTCGAATTTAATTTTTTTTTAATATTATTAATACAATAATATTTTAAACGTTAAAAATAATTAGCAAAATAATTATTTACGCGAAAAAAAAAAAAAACAAATGGAGAAGTAAAGAAAAATATTCTTTTGACGTATGATTAAAAATATAATCAGTTGTTTCAAAAATAAAATTCTTAATAAGAAGGTATCATAGTGAATTTGGACATCAATTGGAAACGTCCAACTTATCAAAATTAAGTTCTACTTCTTATTTTGATGTCCAAATTCCTTATGATATCTTCTTATTAAAAATAAATTTTAAATAATATTGAATAAAATTCGTAAATAAAAGTAACAATCGATATTATAATTTGAAAAATAAATTTGAGCGAATGTTATATATAAATAAAAAATGAATAATAGAACGATCCTACCTAAGACTTCGGTAGATAGACGTCTTTTAGTATAAATCGCTTGTAAATCATCAGCAGATGGGCTACCAGTACGACTGGTTGGAATAACATTAGCCCTATCATCATCTTCGTGAGTACCTTGTACGAATAATCTACCACTTTTGCTAAATCGATAAATCGACATTGTTCCAATTGTTCAACACTCTCAACGACAAAAACAATATTCACTTCAATGAAACATCACTTTCCGAAATAATTCATTTCAACGTTCGTCTATTTTGTTTTACTTTTTTTGCAAGAAAAAAAAAAAAAGAAGAAGAATAAAACAATAAAAATTCACTAGACTCGTGAAACGATCATAATCAAATAATCGAAACAATTTTTTTTCGTTGTTGATTGGGGTTGGTTGGTTGGATGCAACGAAACCGGAAGAATCGTGAACAAGCTGAACGAATGAAAGAAGAAGTATGATTTTAAACGTGGCGAACGGGACTGACTGAGAAGAAAAAGAAAGGAAAGAGTGTGGAGAGAGAAATGTTTTAAGTGGAGAGAACGAAGAGAAGAGAGGAGGAGGAGGAGGAAGAGGAGGTAATGGTAAAGGTAGAGGAACGGGGGGAGGAAAGGGGAAAGGGGAATCATGCGTTCACGTTCAGCAGGATACCAGGGCATGAAGAGAACGGCGATGTACAACCAATGAAAACTGTTGTACTTCCTTGTGGTTATAATGTTCGAGTTAACGCTTCAACTATCTTAAGTTTTCCTCCACTGGTTGGTTGCAATCTATTCTAAATTAATCAACTTTATTCTTTCTAATTACAAATTTAAAAGTACAATCTATAAATATATATTTTCTTTGTTCATGTTAATTTCAATCAATTCCTCTTGAACCCTCCCTCATCCACCCCCCCGTTCTGTAATTTACTTCGTTAAAATTTCATGCGATTTTAATTATCTCGTGATGAAATATTTTATCCTCGTATATATTATATAATAATATTATATACAAATTATAAATAAAATAAATATATANATATATTTAAATCTTATTTTGTTTGTGAATAGATTTTTTAAATTGAATATATAATAAATTAGAATAGAAATGTAAACGTGAAAATTAATAATAAAATACGTAAGAAAATGTTGTTATGGTGTAAATTATTTCATTTTCTTTCTAATCACAAATTAATAATCAACCCTTTTCAGTGCATACAACTTTTTTTTGTTTGTATACAATTGCATGTTAGAAAGAAACTTGTAGATTTGTTTTCTTTTTTCTGAGTGGAGACAAGTGACAGGGGGGGGGGAAGGTGAGGGAAGGGGTTCGTCGAGAAGTCTATATATTTTGTTGATGATTACTTTTTTTTTTTTTTAATAATGTTAATTGCAATTAGAAGAATCGGTTACACGTGCCACAACACTTGCGGTTGACAACACAGAAACACGTTTCTATAGTCATTTCGATGAGATTACTATTACTGCTATACGATAGATATACAAACACACATTCACACATTTATACACACACGGGGATACATTGCATACCACCTACTTCGAAGATACCACGATGACGTATCGAACACGCATTTACGTAGGAAATAATCGCGAGTAGGTCGGTGAAATAAATTACCACACCAGTTCTTGAAACACACGAAAGAAGATGTGTCGTCTGTCTTTTTTTTTTTTTTTTCAGTCAAGTCAAGGAGAATTCTATCATAAAAAGAAACAGACAAGAGAACTGAGAGAAAGAAATAGAAATAATAGCCATATAATATATTCCGATGTCACGACAAGTTATCATTCAAACGACAAAAAAAAAAAAGAAAAAAGAAAACTAAAACTAAAGTTTGTTACAAAGAAAATCAAGTACACTCTTTAATGTTTTAATAGAAAAAAAAAAAAAAAAAAATCAAGAAAAAAGAAAGCTTGATATCAAAAACGATAAACAATTTTTCCAACTGTCACTTTACACTCCAATCAAAATTCTGAACAAAATGTAAACCAACTCTATTGACTAATAAAATTAAATCGATAAAATTATCATATTATTATTATTATTATTATAATCAAAATTGAAATATTAATTTTGTATCGTTTAATTAACCATGTGTTGTGAACGTTTAAAAACAAATGTTTAAATAAACCACAAGGAAGTAGATATTCCGAAAAAAATATTCAGCCACCTGATGATTCCGAATAACTTCGATATTATGCGATAAAATATCTAAAAGAATAAAAAAATAAAAAAAAAAAAATAAAATAAAAGAATTTAAGATTATGTTATTATTATTATTATACCGGTGTGAGATAGAAATATAGAAAACAATGAATAATAACGGAACGTATGTTAACGCACGACGTTTCAACCGGCCACTGCGCTGCGTTCTGTTCAACACAAGAAAGGTGAGTTTGCGATACGAGCAGGTGAGAGAAGCGCTTACCCCCACCACAATTTATTTTACTCGAGCGCTTGCGCATCACGATTGTGAGTGGGGGTGAGGTGGGGTGGGGTGGAGGATATTCAGTTTTATATTCTTCTTCATATTATTTTCTAATCAACTTTGCCTTATGTGTTAGATAGTTTAACACCCACGCAATTATTGCAAGCTTCATACGTGTCATCTATCTATTTGTTTGTTTTATTTTATTGTTTTTTAATTTTATTTAACGTATTCAGAAGATGTTCCATTCGATTTATTTATTCATTTAATTATCGAAATAATTTTAATTGGATTAATGAGAGAGTAGGGGGAAGGGGGGTGGATGATTTTGTTAATAGGTAAAATTGATTATTTTAAATGAATTCGTTAATTTATTTGGAAAGTTAATATCAGGTCATTGTAAGAAATATTTTGTATATGTAAATCCAGTTTAATTACAAATTTCTAACAATAATAATTCTAAAAATATGTTAATGTATTAATAGAAAAGAATATATATATTTCTTTGTGAGTCAACGTTTAGGGGGTTTGATAAATGAACTGATGTTATAATAATAATAATTGTAGAAAAAATGATGAAAAAGTTGATGATGCTAAAAGATATTGGAATGTAAAAAAATATAAGAATGCAATTCATATATATATATTAATGTTTTCCGAATAAAAGTAGAAACTTAGTGTTAAATCAGTTTATAATAAACAGTTACGTAGATCATTTTTCCTTGTAAATCGGTCAGAGATTTAATTATGCGTTGCGTAGTGATCGTTTCATGCCCGATGCTTTAACAAAACTCAAGAATTGTCGTTGATTAAAAAAAAAAAACTACAATATTATCATTATCTAAATAATAATAATAATAATAATAATGAAATCTAATTTTTGACGAATAATTTGTGGTAACGGAAGTAGGGAATGAAAAGGACCGGATGCGTGTAAAAAAAAAAAGAAAATAAAAGTCAGTCGGTGGTAAACCGTATGGTGTAATCTCGATTTACGGTGTATACCCCCAGGAATACGGTAAACAGGAAAAAAAAATAAAAAGAGTGAGAGGAATGAAGAAGAAGAAGAAGAAGGAAAGTAGAAAGGTAAAGATGAAGGTAAAAGATTCAAAAGAGAACTGGCTGTTGCTGTTACTGTTTCTGATCGTTCTAGAGATCAACTAACCGGATACGAAACTCGTAATTTACCGTCAATGTCAATCTGATATATTCATCATAAGAATCATCATGATTACCGTTTTACAATCAAACATTTATTTTCATCCAAAAATTCTCTCTCTCTCTCCGCAAAATAAAAAAAAAATAAAACTTAAAAAATAAACGAGGAAAAATATTAAAAAAAAAACAAATAATCTCTAAGTCTCCAAATTATTTCTAAGTTAATAAATATTTAAAAATAAAAACCAAAAATGTGAGATAATTATAAGTGAAATAATGATAAGACATTGTAAAAAACTTTATAAGTTGTGCAATAAAAACCTGATTATATATATTTAAAAAATAAAAAACCTGTGTGCGATATAATAAATTAGATTTAATTGTAAATTGTATTAAAAATTGTATAAGAATAATAATCGATGGGATTGTTTATATATATTTGAATGATCATTAAAAAATAATAAAAAAAAAATAAAAATGAAGTAGTTTCTTTGGTCGGCCTTGCACGGAAGAGAACGGCAAAGTATTAACGATATTCCAAGCATCACCATCACCACCACCATCAGCAGGTTTACTTGACGAGTCTTATTCGGTCGAATGATGTCACGTTTCGCATAGACATCCTACACACGAGTATGTTTCACGGGAAAGAAATGACGTTTCGGACTACTCATGGTATAAAGAATGAAGAAGAAAAAAAAAAAGAAAAAAAAAAAAGCAACAAAAGAAGTAAGAACAGTGTGTATCCAAAATGGCGCACGAGAATAACACGCATCCGCCCGTACGATTTTAAACGATTCCCATTGTCGACCCACTTTTATTTTATTTTCTGTTTTTTTTTTTCTTTTTAATCAAATCATCCTGTCTCTGTTTTTGGTAATGAATTACTATAAGTAAGTAAGTAAGTAAGTAAGATGAGAAGAGAAAGGACAAAAGAACAAATGGCGAGTTGGAAATTGAATTTGGTGATTTCAACGCGTGGGTGGTGGTTTGTTAGAAAAACAAAAAGAAACGAAAATGATGAGTCTTCTTTTACGAAATTAGAAAGTAATTTTCTAAATAATTTTTATATGAAATATATAAATTATGTTATTTTATTTAATAAGATTTTTATTTTTAATACGATATATTACATTTTTTTTCTCTCGAATAAATCGATGATTTCAACGCGTGGGTGGTGTGGTAACCTCGAAAGATATACCAATACTTGTTCTATTAATTAGAAATTCATTTTATCTATCTTTATCTATTCTGTTCTAATTTATTAACACGGAAATGAAACACTGATTAAGAATCTTTTTCTCTTTCTTTTTTTTTATATATATCATAGAAAGTAAAGAAGAAATCAAGTGACTTTTTTAATTATCTATGACACTATTACGTGATTCAATTCAACGTCATTTCTTTAATAACACACATACATATATATACATGAACATATATTTATGTATTAATTAAATCGTATGATATACTATTGAAATTATTTTCCTGTTCGATTACACATTTATATAATATCATTTTATTCATATAATCATTTTTATTTGATAAGAATAATTAAATAAAATAATATTACTGTCATTTATTCATGTCGCGTGTCTTATAAATAATATTTTATTAAGATAGAAGTGTATTTTATTGATCATACGAAACTATATATTCAAACTATACTAAATGTTCGATCGAAGAAGACCCCTAACTATTATACATTCAAAACTGTTCGATAACTATGGGGTAACAACACGTTGCTGGTTAATAATCATTTTGAAGGAAATATTTTACGTGGTTGAAATTTAACATAATTCATTTTTAAAACCATCACCATACCAACACTGCTAAAAACCATATTCCCATTTAATATTTTTTCACCAAAACACAAATAAATAAATAAATAAATGATCTGATAATCCTATTCAATATTAATTCAATCATCTTATTATTTTATATAAATATTAAACAATAATTTATTATTAAAAATGTGGATGAAAAATACACGAATTATTATTTCATTTATTAAACGAGAAGACCTTCGTTAAAAATGACATTGCAAGTTGCATTTAACGTATATGTGTACGTGTATGTATACATGCGTGTGTAAGACGTTTTCTCTGTTATTTTTTTGTACTGAAAATTAAAAGTAAGAAAAGAACTGGATCGTCCAAAAGTGTAAAGGAAAAATTTCTCCACCTTTCCGAGTATAATTCTTTTATTTTCTTTCACTCTCTCTCTCTCTCTCTCTCTCTTTCTTTCATTTTCTTTTTCTTTCTTTCTCATTTCAAAGTTTGAAAAGTTACGAGGGAGAGTCGAGGACGACGCGTTTGACAAATACGGTTGTCGGAATTGCGACATTATTACACACCATAACGTTTTACGTATATATCAACGTTATATACCTCTTAAGTATATTTACCGAACGAACCTTGACCGATAAAGGAAATTCAAACGAGCTCTATATGACTCGTTTTATGTTTAAATATATGTTTTTCACTATTTTTAATTTTTTCCTAATTTTTCTCTATTTTATATTCTTCTCTTTTGTATTAAAAGAAAATTCTTTTCTTCATTAATTTTTTTATATTTATTTAAATGATTATATCGTGTGTGTGTGTGTATATATTCACACAAATTACTATGAAAAGTAATGATAAATTTTCAATGATTAATATTAATTACAAAGATAACAAAAAATGTACAAACTTAAGCATATTGTTTAATCTAACAAGGGTTTCATCAGACCTTGAATACACCAATTGTTAAAGTTATACTTCATTTTAATTAGATTCAAAATTTTTCAACTTATTCATGTATATTTTTTCTAGAATTTTTTAAAATAAACTAAATTAATTCTAATGTATGAATTATCATTTGTTATATAATATTATAAATGCATTTATAATTTTTTTCCCTATGTCCATTTTGGAAAGGATTGAATATTTATTGCATGATACAAATCGAGATCGTACATATGTGTAATTTGAAAAATAAAATGAAAATCGATGCTTCGGAGATCTGATGTTGTCCCTTGTGAGATAAAAAAAACATGTTCGATGCAAAGATTAGCATTCTAAATACGTTTAAAAGCAGTTTTGCGTAATAGCATGCATCCCGTACATGCAAAGCACCATTTTGAATATATCTATTAATTATTATAATGCAAAATGTGTAAATATATCGATCGAAAATAAGTTATATGTCAAAATGATATTTAACGTTAGTTAGAAATTTATTGAATAATTCATTGAATAATTTAAACTTTCATTCATAAAAGGGATATTTCCGCGTATGTTTTTCCTGTATTCCGTAAAGTGGAAAATTTATTCAAAAAAAACCTATCTACCATGAATGAATTATTTCAGAATGAATACGTTCAACGCCATCTCTTCGTGAAGAAAAAATAATTTATAATAAGCGAATGTGTGTATTCTAGTCGATAAAACAGTTTACGTTTGTACCGCGTAAAGATTAATGCAGTTTTCTACATTTACCATATGCGAAATTATTGAGGTTATACTTTTTTTGGCGCGTTTTGGAAAGTGAGGTTAGATGCGACTGAAAAATCGACACCACGAAGTTTGTCGAGGGAAGTTGCGCGGGAAAATTCAAATTATTTTTGAGGTTATATTCGTTTTGGTATACGCTAAAGAAGTATAACTTTTTACGTGCGTACATAAGTACACAGTTTATTTTGTTTAATATATATTTTAATAGAATTTCTTTTGCTTATAATATTTTAAACTTACATTAAATAAAATATGAAATGAAAAATGAAGCGAGACGATCATAAATAACGTGCAGGGTTTCCGTTTCGTAACAAATGAAATATTAAACGAAAAAAGAAAAAGAAAAAACGAAGAATAATTTATTCTACGAG